CTGCAGGGCTCAAGGATGTTGGCTCAGATGACCACAGCTCGATTACATGCACACATACCCTCCCCTACGACCCAGGTGTGATGAAACCTCTCCTGATGCCCCCCTTTGTTCCATGGGGGCAGAAGCCCCACTCTCAGGACTGTGTGGGTCAGCACCCCCGTGCAGTGCCCTAACCATTAGCAGCTAATACAGCGGGGAGGCCAGCCGTATGTACTGACACGGAGGGGTCACCAAGATGTGTAACGTGACAAGAGCACATTGGGCACAGCTGAGGTCTGCGAATGGGTCTGTAGGAATAGAAAGCGCCCAGGAGGACGTGAGGAACCAGATCGCCATCCAGCAGGGGGGACGAGCTTCACTGCCCACACTTCACACCAACTGCTTCAAACACAATGTAAAAGTGAAAAAGTAACACGTAACTAAAGATCAGCTCTTGCCGTGAGCTCGTTGCTACGTGCTGTGATAACTGGGCCCTAAGTCACGGGGCTGACCGTAGGGGCAGGACTCGCGAGGCATGCTCACTTAGAATGTGTGCTTAGCGTCGAGAGCCCCCTTGTGTTCTCCCGCCCTCACTTTTCCTTCCTCTCTGAGCACAGCTTTGAGCCCAGAGGAGGCCGAGTCAGCCCTGGAGGCTGCCCGCTATTTCACAGAGGACAGCTCCTCAGAAGGTGAGCCAGCTCTCCCACCTCACACCATGGGCTGCATGTCTCCTCCTGGCCCTCAGAGATGGACCCTGGCCGGGGAGGGGCTACAGGCCTGGGCCCTGCCCTGAAGGCAAGAGGAAGCCGCCTCTTAGCCACGGCACTCTCCCTGAGGCCTCTTCTGTGGTGCCCCACTCTCTCTGAGGCCTTTCTCCTGGGGAACCCTCAGTCTCCTTGCGGCCTCTCTCCTGGGGTGCCCTCACTCTCCCTAAGGCCTCTCTCCTGGGGCGTCCTCACTCTCCCTAAGGCCTCTCTCCTGGGGCGCCCTCACTCTCCCTAAGGCCTCTTTCCCAGAGTGCCCCACTCACCCTGAGACCTTTCTCCTGGGGTGCCCTCATTCTCCCTGCGGCCTCCCTCTCTCCTGGAGCACCCTCACTCTCCCTAAGGCCTCTCTCCTGGGGCGCCCTCATTCTCCCTAAGGCCTCTATCCCAGAGTGCCCCACTCTCCCTGAGGCCTCTCTCCCAGGGCACCCCCACTTTCCCTGAGGTGGCCTCTCTCCCAGGGTGCCCCCACTATCCCTGATGCCTCTCTCCCAGGGTGCCCCACTCTCCCTGAGGCCTCTCTTCCAGGGTGCCCCCACTTTCCCTAAGACCTCTCTCCCGGGGTGCCCCACTCTTTCTGAGGCCTCTCTCCCAGGGCACCCCACTCTCCCTGAGGCCTCTTTCCCAGGGTGCCCCCACTTTCCCTAAGACCTGTCTCCCAGGGTGCCCCACTTTCCCTGAGGCCTCTCTCCTGGGGCACCCCTGCTCTCCCTGAGGCCTCTCTCCTGGGGTGCCCCACTCTCCCTGAGGCCTCTCTCCTGGGGCACCCCCACTCTCCCTGAGGCAGCCTCTCTCCCAGGGTGCCCCACTCTCCCTGAGGCCTCTCTCCTGGGGTGTCCCCACTCTCCCTGAGGTGACATCTCTCCCAGGGTGCCCCCATTCTCTCTAAGACCTCTCTCCCAGGGTGTCCCACCCTCTCTGAGGCCTCTCTCCTGGGGCATCCCACTTTCCCTGAGGCCTCTCTACCAGGCACCTCCACTCCCTGAGGCCTCTCTCTGGGGCCACCCCCACCCTCCCTGAAGCCTCTCTCCTGGGATGTACCACTCTTCCTGAGGTGGCCTCACCTGGGGGTACCCCAACTCCCTGAAGCCTCTCTTCTGAGGCACCCCACTCTCCCTGAGGCGGCCAGTCCCTCTGTGTTCTCACTCCTGTCTCTCTGTGTCTCTGCCTCCCTGGACCTTGGCCCACCCTCCCCACACCCTCTTCTCTGCTGTCCCCTCCAGCCTCTCCTCTGGCCTCAGATCCGGATCTTTTCCTGCCCTGGGAGGCGCAAGGTCAGTCCTGGGGGCAGCCAGGTGTTCCCTGGCACTGGGCTTCCCCAGAGCCTCTGGCTTAGCCTCCTGCCACCCTCCACGTGGTCAACAGGCCCTCCAGGACTTCACCATGAGAAGGACCGGGAACCAGGCTGCCCCTCTGTCCTCGGTGTCTGGTGGGGGCGGTTAGTGAACGAGAACAGCACGATGGGGTGTGGCTCAGGTGTGAGGGCATCAGCTCTCGGCCACATGCACAACTTATGTTGATGCCATGTTCCTAGAAAAAAAATCCAAAATGCTGTGATTGCAGCAGTGTGAAACAACAGATGGAGTTCCACATATGGATGCTGGAGCGGGGTGTTTGGTAGATGCTTGCCTTGGAAAACTTTTTAATGTTCCACATCATCTTTTCGTTAAAGGAAAAATACATGCCTTGAATGCCTATTAGGACACAACCCTGTGCTACTATGAAAAGTCGTTGGGAGCATCTGATCCAGGGAGGGGGCATTCTGGGCCCTGGGGTTTTGGCGAATGAACTGGTGGTTTGTAATGCACCTCCAAAATGGGTTGTATCTGTGCCCTGTAATTTCATGAGGAACTGTTCCAATGGGGAAAATGAAAATAGCATGTGTTAAGATAACCCAGTGGATAGTGCCAAAAGCTTACTTGAATTTGAATATTAAGTTTGAGGACCTTGATTTCAAGTATACAAAACCAAAGAAGGAGGTGCACCTTCTACTGTTGTACTCAGAAACTGGGCAAGTCGGGGATGCTTAAGGATTGTCCCCGGCACTCCTAGGAGAGGCTGGGGACAGTGGCACAGAGCCCTGTCCTCAGACCCCCTCCCCCCATTGCCTCAAGCTGATGTGGCAGTCGCAGGTCAAATTGGTAACTAGGATTTCTCTGATTTTTGCCTTTTTCTAGCAGAAACTACAGAAATCATTGGTTCTTGGAGTTTTTGTCCATAATATGCATCAGCATTCATTTAAAAAGCAGCGTGGCCAGCATTTCAAATACCAGCAGGGTCACTGATGGTGGACAGGTTTCCATGGAGCTTCCAGATTAAGACACAGTAGGAGGGCAAAAAAGAAAAAACTGTGGTGAGACTTGTCTTCCTCTGAAGAAGAGGAAGTGAGGGCTCAGTGGCTTCTTTTAATGTAATCAGATGAAGAAGTGGTAGACACCAGACTTTTCTGGAGCCACGGAGGCTAGATGGACCCCTGAAACTATTGCCCTGGGATAATATTTAAATCTTAAACCAAAAATATCCCCTGAAGTCTTCTTAAAACCAAGCAATAGTCTAGCTTAACTAATAAACAGGGTTTGTCTTGAGCATTATGCTCTTTTAAGAATGATCTGTATGGGATCGAATTGACAACAGCAACTCGAAAGATTAGATAGGAACCTTAGGGGGCAGTGAGTTTATGTTAATCGGGGAGGAACAACTCAGAAAAGGAGGGGGAGAATGGTTGCACAACTCAAAGAATGTAATCAGTGTCACTGAATGGTACATGTAAAAATTGTTGAATTGGTGTGTGTTTTGCTGTGTATATTATCAACAACAACAAAAAAAAGAAATGGCCAAACCCTTGCTGCTGGTGCTTATTGGGGTGGGCCTCACACAAGGGCCCACACCCGAGCCTGGCTCTGCAGGAGAACCACAGACCAGCCGTCTCAAGGAGTCAGGACATAAGAACGTTCTCTGTGTTCTTTTTATTTTTCTGGTGGTCCAGAAGCACTCCCACAAGAAGAGCAAGAGGGAGCTGACAATGAGGATGTCCGAGAAAAAAGAGGAGGTACAGGCCACGCTCCAGCTGGTGCTGTTGGGGACACGGAGCTTCCCCTGCCCAGGGGAGATGGCACACCTGGCCTCTGGCCCGTCCCTCTCCCTCATGGAGTGGGTCTGATGCTGGGATGTGACTGGCCCAGCTCAGCAGCTGCCCACACAGGCGCAGTTCTCCCGTCAGCCCTGGGCTGTAACTGTGGTGGCTGGGATACCCCCAACTACCACCTGCTTTCTGCCAGGACCCTCTAGCTCAGCCAGCATCGTCCCTCCCATGCTGTGCCCCCACCAGCCTTCTGAGTGGTTTTGTCACCACCTTGGGGAGGGAAGTCTGGGCCATCTTCATCAGCTTAGGTCAGACCAACTTCAGCAAAACTCAGGGGAGCCCCAAGGGTGTTCTGGGTGTTTTTTTCCCATCGCCATCTCCCCAAATGTGGAGGTGTTTCATAACAGGGCCTGGGTCACTCCATGCCTGAGAAGAGCCAAGCCCAACTCCTGCTGCCAGCCCCCAGCCCCTTGTATCTCCTTTTACAGATGGAGATTAATCTCTTTTTTTCTCACTGTGCAGAGGAGAAGGGGACCAGCCCTCAGGACTATCGACACTACCTCCGAATGTGGGCCCAGGAGAAGGAGGCTCAGAAGGAGACTATCAAGGATCTTCCCAAGATGAACCAGGTAGGCTCAGTCAGAGCCCACAACAGACATTTCTGGAGAGTTCCAACCAAGACTGGAACCTGAAACACCCTCCTCACCTCAACCCCCACACTCCCAGCAACCTCCTGTAGGGTGGGACTCTCTTCTCGACACCCAGAGCCCTCAGTGCAGAATGGTGGTCAGCGGTGACTTGAGAAAGACAATGACTAAGGCTTCAGGGCATGGTACAGGTGGTATTTCCATGGTTACCATGTACTTAGATTTAATCCATATCCATAAACTAGAGAAACACAGGGAAAGGTTAGTTTCCAAGACCTCCCAGGCCTTGCCCAAGCTTCTGCGCGTGAGGCCCCCTACCCTGCACGACTGAGGAGGGCTGCTGCCCACTTGCTGGTCCCAGACTGGGGGATCTGTGTCTACCCAGGGTTTCACCACCAGGAAGTGAGACCCTGGATTCAGACCCCAAACATCTAACCATGGCCGCGGGCCAGGCCCCATGCTGGCTTTTGCTGAGGAGGACCCTGCAGCCTGAGCACACCCCTACCTGCAGGCCTGAAGAACGGGATGCCCCGTAAAGGGAGGCTCCATACCGAGTGTGAGGTTGAGGCGCCAACCCTGGCCTCTCCACCCTTCACCCCAGTGGCCCAGGTTGCTTTCATGGCCCCCTAGAGAACCTCCTTGAAGGGCAAAGCTGAAGTTGCTTCTGATTAAAAATGTAAAAAGCCGGAGGTGATTCCAAAACACATTGAAGAAGGCCTTGTGGCAACTGCTTCTAGAAAGTCACAATAGGAATAGATCTTTCTCTGCTGACTTAGGAAAGAGGGAGAGGCCCCAAATCAGACCTCATCTCTACTTGCAGAAAGAGAGGCAGCTGGAAAAGAAAGTCCTTTTTTTGTTGTTTTTACTGTGGTAAAGTATATAGTATAACAAAACATTTGCCTCTTCAACCATTTACATATGTACAACTCAGTGACACTAATTATTTCACCATGTTGTACAACTATCACGACTATCTGTTTCCAAATTTTTCCATTATCTTTAGTAGAAATTCAGTGCCTCTTACACAATAACTTTCCATTTCCCCTCCCACATGCCCTGGTAACCATTAATAAACTTTGGCCTGTATATACACTTGCCTATTCTAGATACCTTATGTAAGTGAGATCATACAGTATTTGTCCTTTTGTGTCTCACTTATTTTATTCAGCATAATGTTTTCAAGGTTCATCCATGTCATACCGTGTATCAGAGCTTCATTTTTCTTTTTAGCTGAATAATACCACATTTTCTTTATCCATTCATCTGTTGATAGACACTTAGGTTGTTTCCACCTTTTGGCTACTGTGAATAATGCTGCAGTGAACATTGGTGTACAAGTATCTGTGTCTTAGTCATCTAGTGCTGCTATAACAGAAATTACCACAAGTGGATGGCTTAACAAAGAGAAATTTATTCTCTCACAGTCCGGTAGGCTACAAGTCCAAATTCAGGGTGTCAGCTCCAGGGGAAGGCTTTCTCTTCTCTGTCGGCTCTGGAGGAAGGTCCTTGTTATCAGTCTTCCCTTGGTCTGGGAGCATCTCAGTGCAGGAACCTCAGGTCCAAAGAACACAGTCGGCTCCTGGGGCTGCCTTCTTGGTGCTGTGATGTTCCCATGTCTCTCCTCGCTTCTGTCTTTTATATCTCAGAAGAGACTGGCTTAAGACACTATCTAATCTTGTAGACTTCATCAGTATAACTGCCGCTGATCCATCTTATTACATCATAGTGATAGAGTTTACAACACATAAGGAAATCACATCAGATTACAAAATGGTACACAGTCATACAATACTGGGAATCATTACCTAGCCAAGTTGACAGATATTTTGGGGGTACACAATTCAATCCTTGACAGTTTGCATTCCGGCTTTCATGTCTCTTGGGTATATACCTAGGAGTGGAATTGCTGAGTCATATGATGGTGCAGTGGTTAAAGCTATCAGCTGCTAACCAAAAGGTCAGCAGTTCGAACCCACCAGCCATTCTAAGGGAGAGAGATGTGACAGTCTGCTTCCATAAAGATTACAGCCTTGGAAACCCTGTGAGGCAGTTCTACTCTGTCCTATAGCATCGCTGAGTTGGAAACGACTGAATGGCAGTGGGTTTGGGTTTGGTTTGGTTTATGGTAATTCTGTGTTTAACTTTCTGAGGAACTGCCACACAGCAGCTGTACCATTTTACAGTCCCATCAACAATGAATGAGTTTCAGTTTCCCCACATCCTCATCAAAACTTGTTTTCCCTTTTAAGAAAGTCCTTTTAAGGGCTGTGTGACATTGGTCAAGTTACTTTCCCACTCTGAGCCTCAGTTTCCTAACCTGTGGAATGGGAATGATAAGGCACAGGTTTGTGGAGATGAATAACAAGACAACACTAGTTAGAATGGCAGCATCATCAGTCCGGCTGATATGAGTGCTGCCTGCCCCATTATTTACCATCTCCCTGTTCTCTTTCTGTTTTTCTCCTAAAAAGGAACAGTTTATTGAGCTGTGCAAAACACTTTACAACATGTTCAGCGAAGACCCCATGGAGCAGGACTTGTACCATGCCATCGCCACCGTGGCCAGCCTTCTTCTCCGCATTGGTGAGGTCGGTAAGAAGTTTTCAGTCCGGGCAGGCAGGAAGTCCAGGGACATTGCCTGCAGTGGAGACCATGACAGAGCCACTGCAGCCACTGTGGAGGTGGAATCCCCAGTGCCAGAGCTCCATCAGGACACAGCCTGGGAACCTCAGCTGTCAGCTGCAGGGGACCTCCAGGCCAAAGCCAGTGGAGACACCCACCTTGGGAAGGCACCACAGGAGAGCCAGGTGGTGGGCGAAGGGGGCAGCGGTGAGGGGCAAGGCTCACCCTCCCAGCTTCTGTCCGATGATGAAACCAAAGACGACATGTCCATGTCCTCCTATTCGGTGGTCAGCACAGGCTCGCTGCAGTGTGAAGACCTCACGGATGACACGGTGCTGGTGGGCGGGGAGGTCAGCAGCCACGTCGCCGCTGCCCACTGCGAGGGCACTGTTGATGCTGACTGGTGCATTTCCTTTGAGCAGATCCTGGCCTCCATCCTGACAGAGTCTGTGCTGGTGAACTTCTTTGAGAAGAGGGTGGACATTGGGCTCAAGATCAAGGACCAAAAGAAGGTGGAAAGGCAGTTTAGCACGTCCAGTGACCATGAGCAGTCTGGGGTTTCCGGCTGAGCTCTGTGTCAGAATGGCTCGGATAAGGCTGTGGAAGTGGGGACTGGCCTCTCGTTTCCTACTTCCCTCCTTCTCCTCCCCGCTTTCTGTTCTTTACTTAAAGATGCACCCCTTACAGGCCTCCCCAAGAGAGGCAAGAGTTGTAAATGGAAAGAAGGCTGGTACAGGCCCAGTTGCCTTAGATGGATTCTCCAGGCCTGGGTCTCCTGGGCTCCTGGAGGCAGGCAGCTGTCTCTGAGGCACAGAAGAGGTCCTCCCTACCCCAGCTTCCTCTCTGTGCAGCAGGAACCCACCTGAGCCTGGGCCACACCCTGTGTAGTCTCAGAGGTTCTCAGATCTGCCTCCACTTGCCTAATGCCCTCTGCACCCTGCACCCTCCACAACTGAGCGTGGGTGCACTGTGGCCAGACCACGCTGGTCTTCTCTGTTCATAGGACACGCCCGCAGCTGTGTGATCCAGGGTCCTTGGCTGCCATTTGGCACCAGGTAGGGGGGTCATGTGCTTGTTGGGCACCCAATGAGGCAAAACCCTCAAGGTGCTCTCAAGGATCCCCTGAGCTTGAGTCCCTGTCAGGGCCAAGAGAGGACTGAGGGACATGAGGCAGAAATGGGAGCAGTGTGGGTGCATCATTCAGGTGTTACTTTAAATGCTGTTTCAGCTCATCCTCACCATTAATTTCAAAAGCACATCCCTCCGATCCGGAGAGATTTCCTTGTATTCATTTCACGTGGCTAAAAATAACACTGTGCTCAATGCCTTAATAAACCCCTGAAAGAAAGAAACACCACACTGTGTACAGTGCCTAAATAAATCCCCTCTGCACTGCGTAGGCCTCGCCTCTCCCTGGGCAATTCAGGAGGCTCAGCGAAAGTTACTCCCCTGCCCCAGAGGATAGGGGACTGGAAGGGGCTGACCTGTGTGATGGGAACCACCCAAGTGATCCCTCCACAGGGCTAAGTGCAGGGAGAGGCTGGTCCACCTGGGCTGCAGAAGCCATCTCTGGGGTCACAGGTGACCAGTGGGGGCCTCCCAGTCTGCATCAGGGGGCAGAGCCGGGAGGGCCCCTCACCTGCAACAGGACACGGGGCCACTCTTGTCTCTGCTAAAAGAAGTATCTCTGTGGCCATTTGTTTTTAATTCATCAGCTTTATTGAGGATAATTTATATACCATAAAATCCACTTGTTTTTAATGTAGAATTCAGTGATTTTTGGTAAATTTACAGAGATGTGCAGCCATCACTACAATCCAATTTTAGAACATTTCTGTCATCCCAAGGAGCCCTGGTGGCTCATGGGTTAAAGAGCTCGGCTGCTAACTAAAAACGTCAGCATTTCAAACCCACCAGCTGCTCCACAGAAGAAAGATGTGGCAGTCTGCTTCCATAAAGATTTACAGCCTTGGTACCCCTATGAGGCAGTTCTGCTCTGTCCTGGAGGGTCGCTATGAGTCGGAATCAGCTCAAAGGTAATGGGTTTGGTTTTGCAATTTTTCTATCATCCCAGAAAGACCACTCCTGCCCATTTGCAGTCAATTCCATCCCCTGCCCCAGGCAACAACTAATCTACTTTCTGACTCTAGACCTTAAGGCTGGTTTTTCAAGCAGCAAATGCTGTACATGATTTTACTTTGTTCACAACTGTTATGTCACATCTTCAATAAATGCAGCAAAACAACATCAAGGAAACTGAACCAACAACTCTTCTCATTCCTTAAAAAATGAATAATAAATTGGACAGTGTAATTTCCTCTCCAGTATTTTTACATACTGACCACATGCTTTGCCTTAAAGTAATTTCAATAAATTTCAAAGGACTTGCACCAAAAAGGCTATGTTCTTAGGCCATAATGCAATTAAGAGACACATAAGAAGCCCACACATGTGGCATTTTAAAATCTTAAGTTGACTAAATCAATTAAAAAGATTTGAGATAACTTGGAGTTTGGATAAATGCTTTAAATACCATGCAGAAGTATAAACTTGGGAATACATTAAAGGAATTAAACGAGAATATGAAAGGATCCTAGCCTTTCCACATAATAAAAGAACAAAAAAAATGTGCAGTAGTACTTTCATCTATTAATCGTTCTGAGATGTTAAAAATATTTAACAACCAGAACACTAAATAATATATGGATAATGCAATTAAACATTTTAAATATATTCTTTTTATTCTGTTTAAGTGTGAATATTATATTTTTAAACTGCTTACCAAGTGATATAAACTGTACCAAAAATCATTCATCAAATAATTCGTATGATTTCCAAGAAAAAAAATCTGTATATGAATTATAAAGGATTGCATGTTTATGGCAGAAAGGTGGATTAAATAGAAAAACTATTTTTCCTAGTACTTAAAACTACTACTCAGTATTTTGGTGTGTTTTTTTTTTTTTTTAACACTCTTTGCAGATGTGTTCTGCTCTCAGCCACTATAATAACTCAAACGTGAAAATAAATGAGCCCTGGCAGCACAGTGATTAAGCGCTCAGCTGCTAACGGAAAGGTCAGCAGTTGGAACCCACCAGTTGCTCCATGGGAGAGATTCATAGCCTTGGCTAGCAAGCGGCCATCTAAGATGCATTAATTGGTCCTAACCACTTGGAGTAAAGGAGAATGAAGAACACCAAAGACACAAAGTATTAGCCCAAGAGACAGAAAGGGCCACATAGACCAGAGACTTGATCAGCCTGAGACCAGAAGAACTAGATGGTGCCTGGCTACCACCAGTGACCACCCTGACAGGAAACACAACAGAGAGTCCCTGATGGAGCGGGGGAAGGGTGGGGTGCAGAACTCAAATTCTAATAAAAAGACCAGACTTAATGATCTGACTGAGACTGGAGGAACCCCAGAAGGCATGGCCCCCGGACTCTGTCAACGCAGAAGTAAAACAGTTCCTGACGCCAACTGTTCAGATAAAGATTGGACTGGACTGTGGGACAGTGAAGAGTGTGCTTCTTAGCTCAAGTAGATACGTGAGACTAAATGGCAGCTACTGTGTGGAGGTGAGATGAGAAGGCAGAGAGGGTTAGGAGCTGGTTGAATAGACACGGGAAATCCGAGGTGGAAAGGAGGGGTGTGCTGTCACGGTATAGGGAGAGCAATTAGGTTCACATAACAATGGATGTATAAATTTTTGTATGAGAGACTAACTTGAATTGTAAACTTTCCACTTAAACTACAACAATAAAAAAAAAAAAAATGGGGAAAAGATTTACAGCCTTGGAAACCCTATGGGGCAGTTCTACTGTGCCCTGTAGGGTCACTAAGAGTCAGAATTGTGAAAATAAGTGAAGACCATCCAAATGAGAACAAAGGCTAGTTATTCAAAGCTTGCTATTGCAAGGGAGTCAGTCACTATCACTGGCATTTGAGAGGCTTAAAGGCAGGCAGAGGAGTGGGAGAGCTTTACAATAAAATAAAAGGGGGAGGCTTCAGGTATCTTTACTGGAGGTTGTTGGCAAGGGGAGACTGGAGTTGGGCTTAGAAAGGGGATGTCTTATGTGATTAGTTTGGGGAGTTTATTTGGCTGTCTCTGGTTTGGTCAAGTGCGGAGAGTGATGTGAAGAACCAGGAGGCTGGCAGTCCCGACCAAGACTTGGCCATTATTAGCTGGTTGCTGTAGAGGCTATAGGCCAGAGTTCTGTTGTCATATATGGTCTGGTCATTGTCCCTTTGTATATTCAGCCTCTCAAACATAATTTTTCTAACTAATTTGGTTTTTTTTCTTCCTGATATATGCTTATTGTGCAAATTTGGAAAATAAAATAATCAAATTATCTATAACCCTACCCCTACCCCAACCTGGAAATAAATAATGGCCAGTTTAACATAGAGATTATGTATATTTTTCTTACCTCCTTGCTTCCCAACAGCACACGTGCTAGCGTTTTCATTTCAAACTCTGTAATGACTGCACAATGGTATGATTTATCGTAAGCAACCATCCTGTAGAACATTTACTTCCATTTTCTCCGCAGTAAACTAGTTGTTGTTAAATGCTGTCAAGTCAGTTCCGACTCATAGACCCTATGTACAACAGAATGAAACACTATCCAGTCCTGCTCCATCCTCACAGTTGTTGCTGTGTTTGAGCCCATAGTTGCAGCCATTGTATCAGTCCATCTCTTTAAGGGTCTTTCTCTTTTTCACTGACCCTCTACTTTATTAAGCATGATGTCCTTCTCCAGGGACTGGTCCCTCCTGATAACATGTCCAAAGTATGTAAGACGAAGTCTCGCCATCTTCGCTTCTAAGGAGTACTCTGGCTATACTTCTTCCAAGACAGATTCGTTTGTTCTTCCGGCAGTCCATGGTATATTCAATATTCTTTCCCAACACCATAATTCAATAATAATTCAAATGCATCAGTTATTCTGTCTTCCTTATTCATTGTCCAGCTTCCGCATGCATATAAGGTGATTGAAAACACCATGGCTTCGGTCAGGCTCACATTAGTCCTCGAAGTGACAATGTTGCTTTTTAACACCTTGAAGAGGTCTTTTGCAGCAGATTTGTCCAATGCAATGTGTCGTTTGATTTCTTGACTGCTGCTGCTATGGGCGTTGATTGTGGATCCAAGTAAAATTAAATCATTGACAACTTCAATCTTTTCTCCCTTTATCATGATGTTGCTTATTGGTCCAGTTGTGAGAATTTTTGTTTCTTTATGTTGAGGTGTAATCCATACTGAAGGCTGTAGTCTTTCATCTTTATCAGTAAGTGCTTCAAATCCTCTTCGCTTTCAGCAAGCAAGGTTGTGTCATCTGCATATCGCAGGCTGTTAATGAGTCTTTCTCCAATCCTGATGCCCCATTCTTCTTCATACAGTCCAGCTTCTAGGATTATTTGCTCAGCATACAGATTGAATTAAGTATGGTGAAAGGATACAACTCTGACACACACCTTTCCTGATTTCAAACTACGCAGTATCCCCTTGTTCTGTTCAAACGACTGCGTCTTGGTCTAGGTACAGGTTCCGCATGAGCACAATCAAGTGTTCTGGAATTCTCATTCTTCGCAATGTTATCCATAATTTGTTATTGTAAAAATGATGTGGGAGTGGTGTCTGACCTCCTCTAACTTCACAAGGGGGAAGGAGAATCAAGATCAACAGCCTAAGGCTGATTGCTATGATGTGGAAGTCAGACATACCTCCTCTCTCTGCAGTCTTTACCTATTCTGACACCATCTGTCCCTCCCACAGCACTCTCTACTTCTCTGCTGGGTTTGACAATTCATTGCAATGGAAACAGAGAACTCACAGACAATACTCATGATTATGGGGTTTATTAGAGAAGTAACAGGTTACAATTCAGGTTCAGGAACTCTCAGGATACAGTTCTTCGATCAGGATAGCCTCTTCTCATCCATGCCCGCAGGCACGCTTCTTTCTAGCCCTTGGCTCCTCAGCCCCTTGGTGACCCCTTGGACCAGCCTCTGCCCTGCTTGGGCAAGTGTTACAAAGCTTTTTCAGCTCTGCTGCTAAGTGCCCAGAGACACCCCACTCTGCTTATAAGCCTCAGCCTGAAGGTGCTCAGCTCTACCTCCATGGGTTGGCAAACCTAGCTATACCAAGTGTCAGGAAGCACCTTACTCAGCCAGCAAGCCTCCTGCCTGAAGGCGCTCAGCTTTCTCCCTCCATAGGCCTCTGCTGCTGCTGTTTCTCTGTCACCACTTCTAGCCATCTTCAGTGTTACAGCCCTGTCTGTCTCCTGGTTTCAGGAGCTTCTCAGCAGTTCCAAAAGACACAGTCCACTCTTGGCTTTTCTTTCTTGGTGGTGATGAGATCCTCTCCTCCCCACTCTGGGAGGGCTCATTTTAAACCTACGGGGATGGCAAAATTGACCAATCCCTTTGTTAGGGTTCCATATACCTTATTATATAGTCCCACTCAATCACTGTGTGTGAGTCACAAAGACTATGGTAGAAGGGCCATATTAAGTAATTCATTGCACCACAGTCGAATGCCTTTGCACAGTCAATAAAACACAGGTAAACATCTTTCTGGTATTCTCTGCTTTCAGCCAAGATCCATCTGACATGAGCAATGATATCCTTCATTCTACGTCCTCTTCTGAATCCAGCTTGAATTTCTCAAAGTTCCCTGTCTATGTACTGCTGCAACCATTTTTTAATTATCTTCTATAAAATTTTACTTGCGAGTGGTATTAATGATATTGTTCGATAATTTCCACATTCTGTTGGATCACTTTTCTTTGGAATGGGGACAATAAGGATCTCTTCCAGCCTGTTGGCCAGGTAGCTGTCTTCCAAATTTGCATAGATGAGTGAGTGCTCCCATGTTGCATCCGTTTGTTGAAACATCTCAATTAGTATTCTGTCAATTCCTGGAGCCTCACTTTTCACTAATGTCTTCAGTGCAGCTTCAATGTCTTCCTTCAATACCATCAGTTCTTGCTCATATGCTGCCTCCTGAAATGGTTGAACACTGACCAATTCTTTTTGGTACAGTGACTCTGTATTCCTTCCACCTTCTTTTGATGCTTCCTGCATCCTTTAATATTTTCCCTGTAGAATCCTCCAGTGTTGCCACTTGAGGCTTGAATTTTTTCTTCTGTTCTTTCAGCTTGAGAAATGTCGAGTGTGTTTTTCCCTTTTCGTTTTCTAACTGCAGGTCTTTGCATATTTCATCATAATACTTTGTCTTCTCAAGCCACCCTTTGAAATCTTCTGTTCAGCTCCTTTACTTCATCATTTCTTCCATTCACTTTAGCTATTCTACATTCAAGAGCAAGTTTGAGTCTCTTCTGATATCCATTTTGTTATTTTTTTTCCTGTCTTTTTAATGACCTTTTGCTTTCTTCATGAATGATGCCCTTGATGTCATCCCACAACTTGTCTGGTCTTTGGTTATTAGTGTTCAGTGGGTCAAATCTCTTCTTGAGATCGTCTCTAAACTCAGGTGGGATATACTCAGGGTCATAGTTTGGCTCTCGTGGACTTGTTTTAATTTTCTTCAGCTTCAACTTGAACTTGCATATGAACAATTGATGGTCTGTTCCAAAGTTGGCATCTGGTCTTGTTCTGACTGATAATATTGGGCTTCTTCATCATCTCTTTCCACAGATGTAGTTTATTTGAATCCTGGGTATTCCATCCATTGAGGTCCATGTGTATAGTTGCCATTCATGTTATTGAAAAAAGATATTTGCAATGAATAGGTCGTTGGTCTTGCTAAATTCTATCATTCAATCTCCGGTATCGTTTCTATTAAGAAGGCCGTAAGTTCCAACTACTGATCCTTCTTCGTTTCCAACTTTCACATTCCAATCACCAGTAATTATCACTGCATTTTGATTGCATGTTTGATCAATTTCAGATTGTAGAAGTTGGTAAAAATCTTCAATTTCATCTTTGGCCTTAGTGGTTGGTGCATAAATTTGAATAATAATCATATTAACTGGTCTTCCTTGTAGGTGTATGGATATTACCCTATCACTGACAGTGCTGTACTTTAGGATAAAACCAAAAACCAAACCCAATGCCGTCAAGTTGATTCCGACTCATAGCGACCCTATACTATATAGTAGAACTACCCCGTAGGGTTTCTAAGGAGCGGCTGGTGGATTTGAACTGCTGACCTTTTGGTTAGTAGCAGAGCTCTTAACCACTACGTCACCAGGGCTACATCTTGAAATGCTCCTTTTGACAATGAATGTGACGCTGTTCCTCTTCAATTTGTCATTCCCGGCATATTAGACCATATGATTGTCCAAATCAAAATGGCCAGTACCAGTCCATTTCAGCTCACTAATGCCTAGGATATAGATCTTTATGCATTCCATTTCATTTTTGATGATTTCCAATTTTCAGAGATTCATACTTCATACATTCCATGTTCTGATTATTAATGGTTGTTTGCAGCTGTTTCTTCTCATTTTGAGGCATGCCACCTCAGCACATGAAGATCCTTAAAGCTTGACTCCATCTACATCATTAAGGTCTACTCTACTTTGGGCAGCTCTTCCCCAATTATATTTTGAGTGCCTTCCAACCTAAAGAGCTCATCTTCCAGCACTATATCAAAGTTTCGCTACTATTCATAAGGTTTTCACTGGCCAATTTTTTAAGAAGTAGATCGCCAGGTCCTTTCAACTAGTACTAAATTATTATTAATTAGAGATTTGTGATAATATTAATAATAAACGGGTGATTCCGATCATTTTCTTAAAAGAGATAATCGCCAGATTGCTTTCCAGAATGTTTTGTCCATTTCACGGCTCTACCAACACCTTATAAGGTGGTTACCTCTCTCATCACATCCTTGCCAGAAGTGGGTGTCACTATTTAAAAAAAACTTTGTACTTTGATCAGCAAAATACGGTTTACGTAGACTGCGTTTGTTTGCTAGTGAGGCTGGTGGTGTTTTCCTGGCAGGCACACGCAAACTCCTTATGTCTCCGCTGGGGCGGCCTTAGGGTCCCGGGCGTTTGAGACAGAAGGAGTGAGTATTCCTCTCTCCTCCACCTTCCAGAGTGCAGCTGCAGGAAGGATTGGCTGTTCCTTTCCATCTTCCCCCCTTCTCCATCTCCCTCTCCGGGAAGCGTGGGTAGGGTGAGCTCAGCATTTCCCTGGGATGGTCGGTTCTCTGGGCTCCAGCTCAAAGGCTAACTGACCACCCAGGACACCCAGGTGTCTTGCCGATTCCAACCCCGGGTCCCGCGGCGTGGCCAAGGCAGGGAGGCCCTCCATCTTCCTGAGCGACTGGAAGGAGAAACCGAGGGAACGAACGGTGGGACAGCAGGAGGAGGCCTTCCTTGCAACTTCAATCTTCCTATCCAGCCCAACAGAAAACGCTGGTTTAGAAAGAGACAGGAACTGGCCCGGGGTCACAGAGTGAGTCGAAACCCCTACCACGAACCCCGGCCAACTCGAACCCACGACCACACTCCACTAAGCAGCTGTGGAGAAAGCCGCGCTGATCCTGCAGCCGGAAGTGCCCAGCCGACCACAGAGGGTGCGCCGGAGGCTAGAGGGGCCGAACGCCAGTAGGAGGGGCAGGATGGGGCGGGGCCGCGGCCACGGCGGGCTCGGAGGCCGCGATGGCGCCGCCTCAGCCCGCGCGGGTACTGCGGTGCTGCAGCTGCCGTCTCTTCCAGGCGCACCAGGTGGGTCGGGCGCCGGTCTCCCCGTCTCCGGGCGCGAGGACGACGGGCGGGACTGGCGAGACCACGGAGGCCAAGGCCTCCTTCCCGCGCCCTGCCCAGACCCTGCTCCTAGCGCGGGCGCCGCCTTGTGCGGTTGTGGGGTGTCCCTGGGGCCCAGGAAAGTGACCGTGACTGCGCTGAGGACAGGGCTTATTGGTGTCGATTCCCCTCAACGTTGTTTGGGCTTTTTGTTTTCTTCTTGCTTGGTTGTTTTACGATATGCAGAAGCTAGAGAGTAATGGTTTCTGCGGAGGCGGCTTCTCGTGAGTTTTAGCAGATAGTTGGGACATCCCCCTTTATCCAGAGCATAGTCCCCAAAGTATCTGCTCAGTTTAAAAAACAAGGGAGATGACAGTTTTTTTTAAATAAAACTGGAGAAGAAAATGTGGACGTGCCATTGAAACTTCACTAGTCAGCGCCTGGCCGCCCCCTGGTGGTAGACCTTGGCTCTGCGCTGTCTGTCCGCGTGGGAAGGAGTACACACCTCCTCTCCAGAGGAGAAACATCCGAGGCCTTGAGAATTTTAAACGGGATAATCCAACACCACCGCCGGTTGGGTCCAGTCGATTCTGACTCATGGGGACTCCGTGTGTATCAGAGTTGAACTGTGCTCCATAGGGTTTTCAATGGCTGATTTTTAGGTGTAGATAGCCAGGTCTTACTTCTGAGGTGCCACTGGATAGACTTCAATCACTAACCTTTCGATTAGCAGCTGAGTGTGTTAACTGTTTGCACCACCCTGGGACTCCAAACAGGATAATAGATATTTCTGAAACGAATTTGCTTTCCTGACTTACAAAACACAAGATGGAGGATGTCATTGAACCTATTCTTTTCTGGACCGCATTCTGTTTCCCTGCTGGCTGTCACCTAACACTGCTGTCGATATGTCTGCTTCTGACAGTTGTGTCTTCTTCCTAGTTATCTACTTCTAACCTGCTGTTCCCTGAGAGAGGATATCATCAAACTTCTTTTTTTGTTTTTGTTTATTGTTGTAATTTAGGTGAAAGTTACATTTCAAGTTGATTTCTCATACAGAAATTTATACATACATTGTTATGTGACCCTAATTGCTCTCCCTATAGCGTGACAGCACACTCCTCCTTTACACCCCTAATTTTCTATGTCCTTTCAAACAGCTCCTGACCCTCTTTGCCTTCTCATCTCACTTCCAGACAGAAGCTGCCCATCTCATGTATCTACTTGAGCTAAGAAGCACACTCTTCACAAGTATCATTTTATGTCCCACAGTCCAGTCCAATCTTTGTCTGAAGAGTTGGCCTCGGGAATTGTTTTAGTTCTGGGTTGACAGAGAGTCCAGGGGCCATGCTTTACAGGGTTCCTCCAGTCTCAGTCAGACCATTAAGTCTGATCTTTTTACTAGAATTTGAGTTCTGCACCCCACCTTTCTCCTGCTCCATCAGGGACTCTCTGTTGTGTTTCCTCTCAGGGCAGTCATTGGTGGTAGCCAGGCACTATCTAGTTTTTCTGGCCTCCGGCTGATGAAGTCTCTGGTTTGTGTGGCAGCATCAAACTTCTTTAAAGTGTATGTTAAAAAGTCAGTGAGATGCTGAATTTGCACCTGTAAGCTTCCATTTAATGCTGAGACTTTGTAAGGGCTATTTTAGGGGCTGAAGGAGCTGGGATAGTACAGTGGTTAAGTGCTTGGCTGCTAACCCAGAGGTGTGGGTGGTTCAACCCACCAGCTGCTCCTCAAGAGAAAGATGTGGCAATCTTTTTCCGTAAAGGTTACAGGCTAGACAACTTCTGGGCAACATGGCGCTATACTCAGAAGCACCACGCCATCCCTCTGCAGCAAAGATCAGAAAAACTAAGTCAGACAGAGTCACACATCAATCCTGAAACCCTAAGCATCAAATGAAGAGATAAAGAACTCAGCCAAGGATCGAATGGAATAAGAAACTGACCGAGAACAGAGAGCGAGGAAAGATACATGCAGAGGTCCCCTATCAGCTACTGAAGCATGGATCCGCCATCTTGGACTCCTATTGGAGATCAGCAAACAGGGGGTATGAGAAAGCAGCTTCACAGACCTTCCAGCAGGAGACAGAACAACTAGTAACCAGCGATATAGGCTTTCCCACCCCCCGCCCTTCTTCACCCCCACTTAGCATCCTCTGCTTCCTGCAGCCACAGTCTCTTGGCCGGGAAGCACCAGCTTCACCTCTGTGTCGCTTGGATTCCACCTGCCCACACTGGCCGGCTCCCTGGGTGCCTTTTGTTGGCTGCTGGTGTTGCTTTTTTCTGCTTCTTTAGAGTTCTTCCTTACCTCCCACCACCTTCCCCGCCTTTCTGTCAGATACCTGGCTCCATGTACCATCTTTGCTTCTTCCTGAAGGGCTGCGAAACACCGCTTGACTGTGAAACTACTTCCCAGCCCGTGCTGCCATGCTGGTGGGACCCCCAGGTCTTTTTTATTTGTTTGTTTATTTGCCCTGATTCGTTCTGTTTTGATTTGTTTGTTTGTTTTCTTTTTCTTTTCTTGGCTTGGGAGCCCTTTCTAGTTGGGCAGTACCGCGCGACTTGGAAGCTACTCCCTTACTCTGCTCAGACACACAGGGACATCCCTGGGGGCATTTCTTTTCTCTTGTTTTTTTTTTTTTTTCTTTTTTTCT